TTGGATGGCCAATGTGGTCATTGGAAAATGACCCTTGTTAATCCTTGGGAATGAGCATTTGAATTTAGGAAAAAGATTCACAATTCAATTAAAAAAAATAATAAAAAAAAGAAATCTGCAGACCTATGTTGTTCATTATTTGTCCAATTCCTATGTTACTTTAATTTTTGGAGATAGTTTTTATATGTTAGCATATTATAGCAAGTAATTAAATATTAGATAGGGGATATTATGTGAAAATTATTAGATTTATAATACTTGATGAATTAGAATTAAATTCTAGACTTGAAATTTGATGAAAAATATGATAGTTGAAATGTTAATTGACATCAAGAATTACAAACTTGATTATAAATTTTGGATGAATTTCTAGGTTAAGATTAAACACATAAAAGTGTGAGTGTTGTTAATTCCGAAACCTTATTGTAAATATAGACTTGAATAGATTCCATTGGTTCGGAAGATCAACGGAAAGGGAAGGCTCAAGTCCAACAGTAATTATTCGATTGGCTAAGGCAAGTGAATTTCTAAACTCTTGTTAAGTGTATGGAATGCGTGTATTTCCTTGTGCTATATATTTGGGAGTAATGGGACTTGGTGATGGGTTGACTTGTCCACATTGATTAATTTCAATGAGGAAAACAAAAGGGTAATAAAATGCAATGTGAATAATGGGTTGTGTGTGATGTATTGATAATGGAGAATGATTTGAAAGGCTTGTTGAATCATTGTTGATGTTGTTGTGAATTGTGAAATTTTATTAAAATAGTGATATCCTCTATATTTTTGTATGAACATGTCATTGCATTATTTTGATGACATGATTGTGAAAAGTGTTATGTGCATTGAGAAAGAATGAGAATTTAAAGAGGATGTACCATTTCGAGGGACGTATCACGCGCCACGATGGACACTATATTTCGAGGGACGTATCGCTCGCCGCGATGGTTACTATTATCGAGGGTAGTGTCGCGCGCCACAACAAATGCATGGACAGATATGTCCCCCATGGGTCCCGGACTGAGAGACAGCGGGTGCGTATCACTAGGTCAGACATGCATCATTATACTTGACATTGCATTACACATACTTATCATTGGTGAACTTGATATTGTGTTTTGCTGATCTTGTGATTGCCTTTCTACGGAATTTGTGATTTATAATACTGAGCTTGTTATTGAGGATATGTAATTTGATAAAGTGTGATTGTTGTGGAGGATATATATGTAAGTTGTATAAGTGTTGTTGTAGAGTATGTGCTATTGAAATATGAACTGTAAAGTTAGACTGAATTTTATGCAGGTTGTAGTTGTGGAGGTTCGGTTGGGGAGGTAGGGGTACCCGTATTTCATCCCCTTAGCTTGTGTTTAGCCGTTTACTTGCTGAGTACCGTGTGGTTTGGTACTCACCCCTTGCTTCTACAAATTTTTGTAGGTTATGAGCCTGGATTTTGTGTTGTACTTGTCATTCTCTTCTTTTCCGAGGCTTCTTGGAGATTTGTCAGGTAGTTGTTTCCATCGCAGCAGACTTTCTTCTCCTTAATTATGATCTTGTTCTATTCTACAAACAAGTTCATTAGTGACTTGAGTTTTTCTTTTGAATCAATTGTAATACTTAATAGGCTTGCACACGTGACTACAAGGTTTTAGGAGTTTTATTAAGTTATTTATCTTTATTTGCGCACTTTATTGTAATGGTTGACTTTTAGGCTGACTTATCTTGGTGGGATAAGACGAGTGCCATCAAGCCCATTTTGGGTCGTGACAAGGAAAAGCAAGAATCACTAAGAAAGTTTGGTTTTTGTTGTGGATTTGCCAAGGATAATCCTACAAGGTGTGTGAGTCTTTAATAGCATTGAGTTTGCTCACCTAAGCACCAAGCAAGTTTAGTTCAGCAAAATTTGTGCTAAAATAGTTTAAAATTTTATGCTCTTCACATGTATTCTTGAATTTTGAATGTCATTCTTGAATTGGGTTGAATTGTGGTGTTTCTGATATCTTTATGTTGAGTTTTACACTTGTGTTGAGTTAGGTTCTTTAGTACATATATTTGAGTTTAGGAAAATTAGGACTGGAAAACAAAGACGAAGGGGATCAAACAAGGAACAGGTACTAGGTCCGCGTCGCAGACCTATTCCCTTAGTGAACAAATGTTTCTAGGCATTCCGGTTAGGATAGAGACTCCTCTATTTCAATTTTAATTTTGCGAGTAATTACTTAATACATCTCTGTGTCGCAGACTTATTAGAAGATGGTGATTTCATGATTTTTCTTATGTTTAGCTCTCTAAAATCATTCCTAAACAGCATGGGACTATTCCAAACACAAATTGTAATCCTTGAATCCATAATTCAATTCAAGGATCAGTTATGAGTCAAGTCAAACGTAGTTAAGATAAAAGTCAAGAGAAGTTAAGAGTCAAGAAAGAGAAGTTTATTACATGTTTTCATAAGTCTTTTACAAACTTTTTATGTTTTTTTTAAGACTTAAGTTTTGAAGATGAGTAAAGGATAAGAACAAAGTTCATGTAATTTTAAATGATAGATGGGAATAATGTATTCCAAAGAGAAATTGTTTTTTACATGTAAGATGAGAGGAAACTAAGATATTAAAAATAGTTCTGAACATAAAAAGGGAAGGTTGATTCAAACAAAACCTTTAAGATATGTTGGAAGAACATCATTAACGAGCATATAACTTAATGCCTAAGCCATCATCTCACGAACCCTCTTCTCCCTCGCCTGCGCTTCTCCCTGAGGCAACCATTTTTAGTTTGTGCTTCTAATCATTTAAAATTTTCAATTTTGGCCAAAATTTCACTTTGGTCGATATTTTTGGTAATTGTGCTTGAATTAAAAAATTTTCACCGTGGTTAGCCATATAAGTTAAGTTTTTGTCTCATAGGATGGTTGGTTAAGGTTTTGAGACTTTTATTTTCAATTTGTGTTGTTAAGCATTTTTACTTTTAACTTTTGGATAAAATTTGAATTATGTCAAAATTTTTGAAAACGTGGTTAAATAAAAGAGAAATTGAACCATTGATTGTCCCCAAGCAAACCCCCGTTCTTGCTAAGTACAAGAGGAAGACTAACTTAAGCATGCAAAAGCTTAAAGGTGAATTATATTCATGAAACTGAAATACAAAGCTCTAACTCAAATGAAAAAATCTGAATAATATAATATATTTAATTTGTCATAAACTAGGAAGCTTAAGTCTATAAAATATTTAATAAAATATAATATTTATATAAACTCTTCAAATAGTGACTATCTATGAATCGTCTAACTGATAAAGATTGACGTCGGGACAAGACCCACGACATTCTCCCTAAGCTTAAAAGTTAATGAAATACCTAGAAGAAAGGAGGCTTACCATGCTAATTAGAACTCTCGGATTTATCAACGAAGCTCCTATTGAAGATCCTGAATACATGTGTCCACTTAGTCAAAAGATGAAGATCAAATGGCTTAGTAAGTGAAATGTATGAGCATGTATGGGAAATTCTAAAGCAATGCATAAGCTTGAAACTTGATAAAAGGAAACATATTTACCTCTTTTCAATCTTCCTCAACTCAAGAAAATAATCAAGGATACTCAAACCTACTTAACTTAGTCAACTCAGAAGTACTTATGAATGAGATACTCAACTAAGAGATTAGTTACTAAACTAAAAGATTAGGTACTCAAATTCAATGATATGATACTTGACTAAATGAAGAATAGATCAATTCAAGATACTCAACTCGAAATACTCAACTCCTGATACTTAGTTGAACTCATTTCAATATAAAGAAGTTTAAACAAGTGCAATATAGAGAAAAGTTATCAAAAAGCATAATGTCAACTCTGTGTATATATCAAGGATACAACACTTGAAGGATCCAGATTCTATGTTACCTTCATTGATAATTTCAGCAGGAAGGTATGGGTTTACTTCTTAAAGCATAAGTAAGATGTGTTTGCAACTTTCAAGAAGTGGAAAGCTGAAGTGGAGAATCAAACCGGTTTGAAAGTCAGATACCTAAGGTATGACAATGGAGGTGAGTATGACAAATAAAAGTTCAAGGCATTCTGTGCAGCTGAGGGAATCAGATTGATGAGAACAGTTCCTGGTAAGGCAAGGCAGAATGGACTTGCTGAGAGGATGAACAGAACATTGAATGAGCGTGCAAGGAGTATGAGGATACACTGTGGGCTGCCCAAAACACTTTGGTTCGATGTTGTGAGCACAGCTGCATACTTTATCAAAAGGGGACCATCAGTTCCTTTGGGGTTCAAGATTCCAGAGGAGGTGTGGACAGGAAAAGAACTCAAGTACTCACACTTGAGGACTTTTGGTTGCACTGCTTATGTTCATGCTGATCCAGAAAATAGAGACAAGCTTGATGCCAAGGCTGTGAAGTGTTACTTCATAGGCTATGGTTCTGATTTGTTTGGTTACAGGTATTGGGATGACAAGAACAGAAAGATCCTGAGACATTGCGACGTGAAATTTGATGAGTCTGTCCTATACAAGGATAGAGATGAGAAGGTTCTAGAGATTATAAAGCAAGTGGGAGTCGAGGTTGAGTTGGAGAAGAGTAACCCCAGAGATGTCAAAGCAGATACTCAACCAACTTCTACTGAAGAATCTGAAGTGCAGCAAGTTACACCTGAGCATGTGTTAAGGAGATCATCCAGATTCATCAGGGCACCAGATAGGTATTCACCTTTATTACACTATCTATTGCTGACTGATGAGGGGGAACCAGAGTCTTTTGATGAAGCCCTACAGGTGGAGGATTCGATCAAGTAGGAGCAAGCCATGGATGATGAGATTAGGTCACTTGAGAAGAAAGACACATGGGTGTTGACTCAGTTACCTGCAGGGAAGAAAGCTTTAAAAACAAGTGGGTGTTCAGAATCAAGACTGAACCAGATGGCAAAAGAAGGTTCAAGGCTCGTTTAGTGGTTAAAGGATATTCACAGAGGAAAGGTATTGATTATGCTGAAATATTCTCTCATGTTGTGAAGTTAACCTCTATTCGAATTTTGTTGAGTGTTTTTGCATCGGAGAATTTGCAACTAGAGCAAATGGATGTAAAAATAGCATTTTTACATGGAAATCTGGACAAAGAGATCTATATGCAGCAACCGGAAGGATTTGTGGTTCCAGGCAAGGAACACATGGTGTGCAAGCTCACCAGGAGCTTGTATGGACTAAAGCAAGCAACAAGGCAGTGGTACAAGAAGTTTGACTCCTTCATGACCAAGAGTGGATTCTGCAAAGCTGTAAAGAATCCTTGTTGTTACTTCAAAAAATACAGTGATTCATATGTCTTTCTACTCTTGTATATGGATAATATGTTGATTGCAGGATCCAGTATGAGGGAGATTAACATTTTGAAGACAAGGTTGTCTGCAACGTTTGAGATTAATGTTTTGGGTCCAACAAAGAAGATTTTAGGGATGAAGATTTCTCGAGATAGATCTGCTTGCACTTTAAATCTATCTAAGGAGTTGTACATTGAAAAGGTGCTGAGCAGATTCAGGGTTAATGATGCTAAACCCAGGACTACTCCATTGGCAAATAACTTTAAATTGTCAAAGGAAAGGAGAAGTCACCCAAGACTGCCGAGGAACGTGATCACATGGCTCTTCTTACATATGCTTCAGCAGTTGGTAGTTTGATGTATGTTATGGTCTGCACAAGACATGATATAGCACATGTAGTGGGAGTTGTTAGCAGGTACATGGCCAATCCTGGGAAAGAGCATTGGGAAGCTGTGAAGTGGCTTCTGAGATATCTGAGAGCTACATCCAGTACTTCACTTTGTTTTGGCAAAGGCAGTGTGACTCTACATGGTTTTGTGGATGCTGATCTTTGTGGGGATGTGGACTCTAGCAAGAGTACATCCAGGTACATTTAAACTATAGGTGGAAAAGTAGTGAGTTGGATGTCTAGGCTTCAGAAGTGTGTTTCTCTTTCATCTACTGAAGCTGAGTATGCGGCAAAAGATGAAGCTGGGAAAGAGATGATATGACTGGCAGATTATCTTGAGGAATTGGGCAACAAGCAGAGCGAGAAGATTCTTTACTCAGATAGCCAGAGTGTCATACAGTTGGTGAAAAATCCAATCTATCATTAGAAGACAAAGCACATCAGAAGGTGATACCATCTCACTCGCAGGACAGTGGAGGATGGTGATATGTGCTTGGAGAATATAGAGGGTGCAAAGAACCCGGCAGACATGTTGACGAAATGTGTTGATGTTGGGAAACTAAGGTTATGTAGAACCTCGGTTGATCTTCTGTAGTTGTTGCTACAGATGTTGCGGTGCGGTAAAGGTGTTGATGATGAAGAGATTTTTTTTTGAGAATGTATATTTTTGGATGATTGAGTCAGTCTCCAAGTGGGAGAATTGTTAGGTAGGGGAGCTTGATTAATATATTTAACTGTTTACGCGGTTTAACCTCCGCGGTGAGGTTGCCAGGGAGTTATTCTCTGTAACCAAAAATACTATGATTTATTAATATAAATATACCTCACCGCCGTGGAAGTTTATTTACGAGGTGTTACCACGAAATATTGGGTTTTTCTCTTTCTCTCTCTAGATCTCTCATCGCTTTCTCGTGAAAGTTCTTGTGTTATTCATTTATCTAGTGTGTGTGTGTGTGAATTCAATACTAAAAAAAGGATGTTGCTCAACGACATCTCATGCCTTTGATAAATAGTACCCATCCTTTGACACTGATCATAGACCCTCAGAAACATCACAAAATCATTAACTAAAGTAGGCCAAAAGAAATATGTGTAGTGTTCTCACCTTTATGGTGTCTTCCATATAGTGAAGAGTGACTACTCTTCAACACTTGCAATGCCTCCTGTTCTACTACATACCTTCGAACTATCTGATCATGTCTATTCTAATATGAAGGGCTTATCTCATATGTAAGGCCTAGGTGGAAATAAACCACTCACCTGAAAGTTCACAATGTC